CCCCCCCCCCCAGCTGAGTTTAGGAGAGCTCGACCATGGAAAAGGAGGGCCCCGAGGCTCGCCTCCAGGGGCTCTGGCGCCTCCGCCATCAAAGCCCGGCTCAAAGAGGGCTAGATCGCTGCTCTGCTAGGGATGGGTCGCGTTGAAGGGGAAAGAACACCTGGGTTTAGGGTTTAGGGCCTTGCGGATCTGGGAAGCATCCGATGCACTGTTGCTCTAGCTGTTGCTGGGTCTCTGTCTCACGCAGTGGCGAGTAGGCTGAGTGAAGGCTTCGGGACTGGGCTCGGGCGCATGGTCCGTCTCTTGGCTGCTGGAGCGAGGTGTTCCCGAGAACCACGGGCTGTGCCCGAACGGCAGCGACATTTCGCTGGCAGATTTGCCCACTCGGAAGCAGATATCTACAAGTAGGAAGCCTGCATTTACGCCTGACTGAATGCTCTGGCACAGATCTGTTCTCCCAACGTTCTAGAAAAGCATCGACAACTGATGCCACCCCAAATCCCGAAAAACCGGTGGGCGCATATACCTTGGAAATGCAACAGCCCGACTATCAAATAATCACAGTTCAGTACATGAAGTACGTGACGCACCCTCGACCCAAAATGCACACCCAAAACCCGAAATCACTGAACACGTGCGCGGGAGGTCACCCAAGCCCGCTCGCTCGCACTGAGTGCACGCGGCACAGGCGGAGGTGACGGTGTGTCACCCTGCACGGCGAACCTGCGCAGGTCATTCCACAACTACGTAGCATTGCAGAGAGAAGCCTGTCAGGAAGGCAAGACAGCAGGGGCAGGATGCAGGCTTTTGGCTTCAGTCAAGCTCCACATCTCCATAGTCTGACATCCTGCTGTAAGCATTCTACCAACCTTAAAGCTTTATGGGATAAGTGCAATCGCTCGCGACTTTGTTCCCGGGCTGCCATGCAGGAGTCGCATATGCCACATCACCGTTGTCATACAGCTGTGTACCTCAACCAGGAAACAGGGCACCAGCTGGCCACAGCTCTTCTATAGTTCCAAAGACTTTTCGACCAGGCTTCGACCAGGCGGAACATGACAAATGAGCCATTACGGCAACGACATTAAACAAAGGTCGCTACACGTCCACCATGGCAATAGACTGCTGGAGCCTTTTCCAACATAAACTGGGCCTCCTCCATAGACCTCGGCGTGCTTGCCCTCCGCGGCGACGAGCCCTGAGCTCCAGGACCGGCAGGAAGTGGATCTATGAGCATTTCGGAAGTTCGGATGAAGCTTTTGGGATTCAGGTTGTAGGGTTCAGGAGTGAGGGCTGTGTAGGTCGAGGAACTTCTAGTCTTCTATGTTCTTTCGAGGGGCCTTTTGAAGTTAAGAGCTGCGAGGGCTGCCGGGGGGGGGGGGGGGGGNNGGGGGGGGGGGGGGGGGGGGGAGACTAGCAGGGCTTTGGGGCCTGGAGCGCCGAGAAGAAGAAAGTAGATCAGGATGTCGGTGCTCAGACTGACTTTCTTTTTGCTACGACTCATTCGGCTCTACGACGATGGCGTCGTCGCATCCTTTCCGGAAGTAGTTTAGCCTAGGCTTCCAGGCTGTCGGATTGAGGGTTTGTAGAGTTCAGGATCTGACAGGTAGGAAGGAGCTTTTATATGAGCGAACAGACGTTCTTAAGGCTTAGGTTTGAGGAGTTAGGGTTTGGGTTCAGCCATCATCGACGCGATAACAGCCACAAGTTGGAGAAGTTTCCCGATAACCTCCCGCAAACACCCTGCATAAAAGCCTGTAGACTGCGGAAGAGAGCGAGCTTAGAAAACACGTCTAAGAACCGAGAAGTCACATCCGCAAAGCAGCAAACCAAACACAACACAACAAGAACACCACGAGACAGGAGCATCTAAGCTGCAACAGAGCTATATGGCCCAGCAACTCTCGGCCACGGTGCGAGCGGCACCTTCATGGTGTGCAGGGCATGCTCTACGTTGCTTCGAGAGGTGACAGAAGCAGCTGCAGTCGCGTATTAGCAGTTGCTGTGTACCAGTAGTTGTCGTCATCGTTGTCGTCGGGCTGCGGCGGGGGTGGCGGTGGTTGTGGTGCTGGTGCTGGTGGTGGTGGTGGTGGTAGGAGGAGGAGTCGTAGTAGTCGTCGTCGTGGTGGCAGTAGTAATCAAAATATTTTCTGAAGAATACTACTTATAATGATCATAGATAGATAGATAGATAGATAGATAGATAGATAAGTAGTAGTAGTAGTAGTAGTAGTAGTAGTAGTAGTTGTTGTTGTTGTTGTTGTTGTACTGGTGGTAGTGGCAGAAGCAGTAGTAGCAGTAGTAGTAGTATAGTAGTAGTAGTAGTAGTAGTAGTAGTAGCAGTAGTAGTAGTAGTAGTAGTAGTAGCAGTAGTAGTAGTAGTAGTAGTAGTAGTAGGTAGCAGCAGTAGTGGTCGTGAGATCAGCAGTAAATGTCGGAGCAGAAGCAACCGTAATCCGGAAAGTCGCAGTGGCAGCCATCAGCAACATCAACACCAGCACCAGCACCATCGTGACTATCAGCGTTAGCACCATCGTCTCTGTCAACTATCTTGGTCATGCTGAAAACCACGACTGGAACCTCATCTGAACCGACCCGTCCTGTATCGAATGCAGGCTACTCCGTTCAACCCCAAGAGTGCGTTTGATCCGTCACCGATCGGGAAAGGGATTGCATAAATGTCCCTTAGATTCGGCTGCAACCACTCGAACAAGTTGGCTTTTGAGTTTCCATGCGACCCTGGAACACCAGGGAAGAGCCCGAAAAGCTGGATGCACCTGCGATGGCAACTTCTGCGGCCTCAGGCTTCTCGCGGTAGATGGGGGAGGCTTGCTTTCTTAGACTTCCGAAACTATTGCTTTTGCATGAGATCTATCTGTCCATGTGCCTTTTGACATTGGCAAACCTACGTAGTATTTTCGTGCATCAACTGATTACTGTAGAACTGCGGTCTTCGCCCAGCATTCGCCTACAACAGCGCCTGGCGCCAGGGAGCTGCAATTCCGGTCTTACTGTCCTTACCGGAGTCTTTACAATAGGGATCTTGCTACTCAGGGCTCGCCGCGATTACCTACCGTCGGCGTCCTAGAAGGGAACTAAAATAGGGGCCTTAATAAATAGAATAGGGTTTTGAAGGTACATTATACTAATCATTTAGGCTTCTATATTACGGATCTGGCCCCTCGAAGCTGAGTTCTGCACTTCCACGGCCTTCGAGGCAAAACGCTCCTCTGCAGCAGCCAGCTGCCTGACAGCAAAAGCTGACCCCCGATGTCTTTGAGCTTTGGGTTTCGGGTTTAGGGGTTTATTTAGGGTTGAGGGGTATATTTCAGGCTTAAGGGTATATTTAGGGTTTCGGGTTTCGGGGGTTTCGGGGAATAGGGAGTTTTTCGTTCGGGTTGCAGGCTGTGGGCTTCGGGGATTTAGGGTTTGGGATGTTAATTCTGCGGTTCTGGAGTTTGGGTTGGGTCTTTCGGAAACTTCTGTGGGGCCGGACTCATGGTATCACGTAGGAGCCTTCGCTATTGGAATAGGGTTTTGGGGCCCATTATACGATAATTGTGAGAAGGAACCCCCAAAATAGTATTCAGTATAGGAAAGTAAAGGCCCCTATAGTACGTCTCCTCGGGAATTTCGAAAGGCAGCCCTGAGACAGGGGCCCTTGACTTTGACTCTTTAGGGTCCAGCTCTTGTCTTCCGCCATTCCCGACAAACCGCCCCAAATCCCATGGGCTTCGGGTTTAGGGTTTTGGGGTAATAGTCTTGGGCCCTGAAAAGTATTTATGAATAGGTACCTCTATAGAAACCATACGGGAAACTTTAAAGTTTCCCAAATTGCCACCTAGATATGGACATGAATATCTACAGATCGCGAGCCGTTTACCCAAAGCCATGATCCACCAAATTCCAACAAACTCGGCGTAATTAATTCCCACGCACAGAAACGCAGATTCTAAACAACTGACACCTCTAAATTCTGACACCCACACCCGAACAAATGGAATGAAAGCCAAAGAGATGGGAATGCACATCTAGAACCGCCAAGCCACGAATTGAATCCTGCTTGATGTGGCCGACTATAATGGCCTTGATAACTTCAAGCTTGCAACCCGGCCCGCACGCAAACATACACACACACACACACACATTCACGTGAAACCCGAAGCAGAACCCCCACATACCCAATCCATGAATACCCGTTCAGACCCCTAAGCCCCATAAACCTCGATGTCGAAGCTTCCAGCAGCCGCTGCGCCCGGTGGAGTTCTGAGGAAGTGGCCTAAGGATTTAAATTTAAAGGATTCGGTCGAGATTTCGAGTCAAGCGATGACAAACTCGAATGCCGTTCAATCCATCGCAAGAGGCTGCACTGGTGCTACACGAAATGAGCTTGAAGAACACCTTTGCAACATAAGCAGTTCTCTAAATCGACGAAGAAAAGTGGAGTTATTCCCAAACGACAAGCATCGCGGCAATTTCGCAATTTTGCCTCCTTGGAAGTTGCTTGCCGAATTCCAAACCACCAGCCTTAAATGGAGTAGATATGTGCTTCTTCAAATGGCTGCTTCCGCCAATGGGCGGAGTGAAACGCCGGCAGGGCACTTCCGACATGGCCAGCGTAGCCGCTTGGTGCAGGAGTGATTGGCCTGTTGAACGGCATTGCCCCGGCAATAATCGTAACCAACCTTGTTCAAAACCCTGAGGAGAACTACTTGCAAACATACTAAACAGGCTTACAGAAAAACTCAAGATCAAAGCATGCAGTTGTGAAGACAACAGTTGATCACAACTCCCGGCTGCTGATGGCGCCGTCTTGGAAATCCTGCATGCAAAGCAATGCCAAGGCCTTGACTGCAGCACGCTCAAGATGGTCGACAAACGCATGTAAGAAAGCGTGCGCGGGTGCGGAATGCCCAAAGCCTTCAAAGGCACCGTCTGGAGACTCTGTCTTTTGCCGAAGAAGCGCCGAATCAAAAAAGGACGCCACATTGCAGAAAGACCATAAACCCTGCTTTGTAATGGCTTCAGTTTGATAGAAATCCTGCAAGCCATCATTTGTACTCGCTGTGGCTCTGACATGTCTGACATGTCCAGGGCAGGCGGCAAACCCCAGCAACACAGCCTGGGCAGCTGCATCAGAATCCGAGTGTGTAAAGGTACCCGACGTACAGAAAGACGTTTGGAAATGACTTGCTGAAGCGGGCGCATCTTGTACTGGCGCTGCCTGTGTGAAAGCCTTGGTTCAACACTCAAGCACCGGCCGAAGCAGCGCGTGAGCCTGGGATGTAATGGCAAAGGCTGCGCGAGTTCCGAATTTGTAGCTGTTTGCCGTGCAGTTTTGGACATCCCGCTCGCCAAGGACATGGCAGCAAGGGTGCGCAGCTGTCGAATGCTCGAAGCGTTCCCAGGCACTGACTGCAGACACTGTCTTCTGCCGAATACGCGCCGAATCAAAGAAGGACGCCAAATGGCTGTACGTGAGAACAATCTTGAAGGAAAGCCGCAACTCAAACACCGCAATTGCAAAGGCTTGAACGGCTCCCATCTTTGAATTCGTGATGATGGCTGCTTCATGGAAATCCTGCAAGTCACCAGTTGTAATCCCTCTGGCTTTGACATGTCCAAGGCAGAAACCCAGCAGCAAAGCTTGCGCAGCAGCTGCATGAAAATCGGAATGCGTAAGGGTACGCGTCGTAGAGAAGAACGTTTGGAAATGACGCGCC